CTAGTATCGGCGCTGACAGGATGTGTGGAGGCAGACTCCCCTAGCCCGTGCTGGGTTCGGTCCCCGCTCACACGCTCACTTGATGGGGCCCGCCTGGTACAGGGCAGCTGCCTGTACACCCCTATCGGCAGGCCTGGTCACGGGCCCCAGGACCGGCCTTAGGCCTTTAGGTTCCCTGTGCGAGAAAGCTTTACAGCGCCCCTCAGTGATCACACCGCTCAGTGGCCACACCCTTTAGTGGCCACCTCCCCCCCGTAACCACACCCATTTACCCCAATATCTGCACCATTTAAAGACTCCTATTTTGTTAAGCCGCAAAGAAACATATTAAAAAGTATGCTAAAAATAAAACTTTTATTTAAAGGTATTAAACTTGTCGGCGCAATATAAGAATTCTTATCAAATAAAACAACAGAAGGTAAACAATAAATGTCAAACTACAATAGAGTCTATACAAATAAAGTGTCAGGATGTCATGCCGACCCTTTTTTCAAGTCAGTATATCTAGAAAAGTAAAAATAGAAAACAGAACACAAAACCTAGACTACATGTAAAATGAATGAATTACTATAGGTCCGAATATACGAAAAATGTATTCAGGCGCATAATAATTTGTTTGAGAATGTGCGGCGGCCATGTTGGCCATGGTGTTCTGTGAATGCGTGCCACCATCTTGGAGGTGGGGAGCATGACGTTACATGACGCCATGCATGCGTGGCGTCAGGTGATGTCACACGCCGATATTGGCCGCACCATGTTGGTGTATACCTAGATATACACCAAGATGGCGGCGCCCAACAAGTGAGGTGTTATATGATGTCATGCGCCCTGCTTCCAGAACACGCCTATGGCTGAATCCAAAATAGCATAAAAATTTGTTTTGCACATGTCTAATAAAATGTGTGTGTGAGGGGGAGGAACAGGGGGCGGGGGGCAGTTTTCACTTTTTAAAAATAATTTTTTATTATTTTTTTTAAATATTTTTTTTAATTATTATTATTTTTTTTTTTTAACTGTTGGAGGGGCTACGGGGAAATATTAGGGGTCCAAACAGACCCCTGACATTTCCCTTTTAAAATAGAAAAGAAATTGAGGACACCAAATCCTCAATTTCTTTTTCAGCAGCCTCAGCACTCAATGAATGGGAAACACTCAGTACAGAGGCTTCCCATTCATTCAGAAACTGCTGATAGTAAATATTTTACTATTTACTATCAGCAGTTTCTGAATGGGGAGGAGCCTCTGTAGTGAGTTCTCCCCATTGAGGAAATTTTGAATGAACACGAAGTGATGTAAATCACAGCCTGTTCATTCATAACTGGGGACACATAGTACTATGCGTCCCCAGTTTTTTACAAACACTGGAGTGACGATCGCTCCAGTGTTTGTCCTTCTCACAACGAGGACCGGTAAATATCCCCGCTCTGCCACGCACAGAGCCGCTGTCATTCTGAAACTGGCAGGATGACAGCGGCTCCGATCTCCTCCCCACTCGGCCATCCTGACAGCAGGCAGCGCTCCCTCCTGTCGGGGAGGACGGGGACGAGGGATCGCTGTCATGTCGGATGGCCAGCGGTGAGGAGGAGAGAAGCCGCCCCGAGGACGAGCTGTGTCGGCCGCCTGGTGCCTTGATTGCCATGGCGCCCTGTGCGGCCACACAGCTCTGACTTATTACTGTCCTAAGCACTGCGGGTACCCTGGCAACTACTTCCACTGCCACCATCTGATCAGGTGTAAGTAATATAGTGTAGGCACATTTTTCCTGTTTGGCCGTTATAGTCTTACCTCTTATTTAAACATTTATAGGATTTACTGTACATGTTGCAGTTATTACTGATATCTAGTAGTTAGTATTGCATAACAGCATGTATGTTGAAGGACTTGTTTTTTAGTTTTTGGCTGAAACACCCACATACAGAAAAGCAAACAAGTACACATCTTGAAATAGACAAAAACAACGGTGCCATCCATCAAGAGGTAATAGAATTGCATAGGAATATACAATATACATCCATTGCATTGTAAAAAACAAGCATTCAAAGGTGCCATTTCCAGCAGGTCACTAAGCGCATATAGTACCCCGCGTCTACCACGGGACCCGAGGAGACAGCACTCATCCAACAGGACCACCACACACCACACCCCACCTTCTAAGACCAGTACCTTCTGTCACATCACTTTACAAAAGAAAAGAATAGCCAGTGGGGTAGTGGAGGCCCAACATATGTACGTTATCTCCCAGGACTGAAAGGAAAGAGAGAAAAAAAATATAAGAAACAGGTAGAAGGGAGGTAAGCATGGAAACCAGAAGAGGCAAGGAGCAGCTACAGTTGGAACCCCATATCTCACCCTACGTCCCTCTCCCGGCAGCGTCGCCAGATGCTGCAGTTGGCACAAATGTCTGAGAATATGCGGGGAACAAAGTGTAAGCAGACCAAGGCATCCATGTGGACTGGAATTTCTCTTCAGAGTTGTGTAGGGAGGCTGTCAGTTCCTCCATGCAATTTCCTCCACAATTGGAAACCACATATGCAGTGTAGCGGGCTTGTCCTGTCTCGACAACAACGGTTTACAGGATCTCGCCGCGTTGATCAAGTGGATCGTCATGGACTGCTTGTATCGCTGGATGGAGGAAGAGACCATATGTAAAAGAAAAACTGCTGGGTCATCTGACAACAGGGAAAGTACCAGCTGGTTGATCACAGGGCGTACAGATTCCCAAAGGTCTCAGAACCGAACAATGTCAAAAAATATGTGCCATAGTTCCTGTGGCCATGCCACACCTCCAGCAGGTAGGGGCGATAGATCTGTCCATTTTATGGAGAACAGAGGGGACTCTGTACCAGCGCGGCAGGATTTTGTAACCCTGCTCCTGGTACTTACTCGCCATGGAGGACTCCCAGGTGGGCTATGCAGGGTCTATGGTGGGCTGTGCGGAATCTCAGTTCAGCTGTGCAAGCTCTATGATAGGCTGTGCGGGCTCTATAATAGGCTGTGCGGGCTATATGGTGGGCTGTGCAGGTTCTTACTAAGGATCCTGGATGGTCTTACCATTATTAAGAAAACCTATATAGAGTACTCATTTCTTTCCAATCAAGAAGTCAAACATTTTTGTAAAAAAGATGAAAATAAACGGAAAGGGATCAAACGTGTTTTGCAAATACGTATTTGCTGTGCTCACTGCTGCCAGACTGAGATGAGACAGGAGAATTATCATAGATAACATCAGGTGGATGGTTTATGTTGTGCTTTTGTATATTTAAGTTCACTGGCAGTGAACACAGCAAC